TTCGCAAATAATTTTAATTAAAACTGTTTTATATAATAACTATTAGTATAGGTTTCAAAGATAGCTTCTGAAAAAATATTAGAATTATATTAATTTTTTTTATTAAATATTAGAATTTTGATCATGCTTACGTAGTTTTAAGGTAAGACTACAAAATCAGAGAAGTAATGTTTTTATTACTCGGTAGATTATCTATAAAGTTAATATTTACATATCGTATGAAAAAAGTTAGAACCTACATATTTAGTTTGTTAGAACCTACATATTTGATAATTTATACGTCTGGACTTCCTAATTAAAAAAAATATATACAAAATGATAATATTTTTGTGGTAGGCTAATTCTCTTTTTCAAAGGCTCTATTTTAGGGGTGGATTACAAAATGTGAGAACTGGCTATTAAAAATATAATTTTTCTTTATTTTTTTTTAAATCTGCAAGAATTGTAATTGCATCGTAGTTATGAATTGTTATTGCATATAGAAAGTGTATATATGAAAACTAAAAGATTTCAGTAAAATATTATATCTTCATAGAGTATAATTACGTTATTCTGTTATAAGAGGTCAAATATAATATCCAAAATGCATTTTTTAGACTCATATTTATCCAATGATTTTTGTTATATTATTTTTTTTAGTTTATTCCTCTCATTGTTATTACTATGCTTTATTGGTCAATTAAAAAATCAGAACCAGCTACAAAATAGTAGTATTTTTTATGAAAAAAATGTGTCTGAATATAGAATTTCAGATTTTTTAAACAGTAGAAAAATTAGTAAAAATTAAATACTTGATATGTTCATTACTATTTTTTCCAATTTTCATTTTTTCTCTTAATTGTTTTTGCAAAAACTTAAATGAGTTTTGTAATATATATATATATATATATATATATATATAAAATCATACATGATATATATATATATATATATATATAATAAAATATTAATTGGTGCTGGAAATGTTCTTAAATCACATTGGGTAACAAGAGCCCATGAAATTGTATGATCTTTATTATTTCAATTATCAAGTTTTTACTACATTGCCACCAGGTCTTTAATACCCGCAGTATTAATATTATCATTATTATAATAATTAAAATGTTATTTAGTACCTAATTGTGTTTAATTTTTTCCCGACGTGTGGCAATCCTATAATTTATTTACAAGTGTCACATAAATCGATCGATTCGTGGAAAAGCAATTAAAATGGTAAATTGTAGTTTATTTTGCACTTAAATCTGAGCCTGGGTCTTAGGTTTACAGATGTGTATTTAGTAATATATATGTGTATTGTACATTTATACATTTATATACATATTTAGTTTACGATTCTGCGCACATAATCCGGCAAACTCCGGGTCGATATCAAGAATTGCAGAACCAACTGAATGAGTTCTTTCGAATATCGTTTTACAACTGTCCTTGTTTTACACACATCGTAACCCGTATTGAATAAAAGATAGAAAATCGTGGAAAATCATGGAAAACGTGTCTCGTATTCGATTTGATTGAGAGTATTTGTACAGCCGGATTCATCCGGACTGAAAAGTCCGACGCGTTTAGATACAAGATTGCCGATCGCTTTACGTGACATCCAAGATTATGACGAAGTTATAATAACGTTTTAAGCGATAAAATATAACACACATACACACACACAAACACACACACAGATATATATATATATATATATATATATATATATATATATATATATATATATATATAGGGTGTCCTGAAACTCAACGTCAAGCCCATGCGGGGAGACAGGGTTGATTATAACTATCATGGAAAATAATTAGAAAAAAATATCTCATGCAATTTCAAAATTTTGAGCTTTTGATTATACTTAGGGCTTTGGTCGAACTGTGACTATTTTTTGTATAATGTAGTTAATTTTTATCATTTTCTACATTTGAAATTTGGAAATGTAACCCCTGAAAACTGGGTCGATTATAACTATCATGCAAAAAAAATCGATAAAAAAATCCATGCAGTTCAAAAATCATGAACTCTTTATTAGACCTGGTCTTTGGACAAACTGTATTTTTTTCCGTTATTGTAGTAAATTTTTTAAAAATTTTCACATTAATCATTGAAACTGCAACCCCTAAAAACGGAATCGCAGGGTTGTTTTTAACAATTGTGCAAAAAAATTAGGAGAAAAAAAATCCATACAGTTTTGAAATTATGAGCTCTTGATTAAACCTAGAGCTTCGTCAAACTGTTATTATTTTTCAGTTATTGTAGCTATTTTTTGAATTTTTCACATTCAAACTTTGAATCTAAAACCCCTAAAAACGGGGTGGAAAAGTTGATTTTAATCATTATGCAAAAAAAAACTAAGAGAAAAAAATCCGTGTAGTTCCAGAATTATGAGCTTTTTATTAAACTGGAACTTTAATCAAACAGTAGCTATTTTGGGGTTAATGTAGTTATTTTTTCTCATTTTTCCACATTTAAACATTGGGACCATAATACCAAATATCATTTCTAGGACCACAGTTAAAATTAATGGCAAAATTGTTTAAAGGTTTCTGGAATTAAAACTATTGGTAAACTATGAACTTAAAATTTCCAAAATTAATCGTTTTTCAAAAGCCTTCTTTAACAAAGTGTCTTGGAAAATATCATCAAAACTTCATGCATTTAATTAGAATTGTGAAATGGGACAATAGTAAAGTAAATAGTAAAGTAAAAAATGAAACCTTTAAATTGTTTTTTTTAAATGTTTCTCTATTCATTTCTAATAATATTATCCTACCAGATGAATAACATTAAAATTGATTTTTTCAATAATTTGAATTAATTTCTTAATATTCTCTATTCATTTTCAATAACATTATACCACCAGAAATTAAGATCTAACTTGTTGAATGCTCGTGCATTTTAAGAGCTTCTTAAACATTATACAAGTGATTATTATAATTAGCAATTAATCATTAAGATTGTGAAATGGTACAATAGTTGTAAGTTTCATACTAAAAAAATAAGTAAAACATGAAACCTTTGAATCATTTTTCTTAAATGTTTCTCTATTCATTTTTAATAATGTTATCCTACCAGAAATAAAACATTAAAATTGATTTTCTCAATAATTTGAATTAATTTCCTAATATCCTCTATTCATTTTCAATAACATGATACCACCAGAAATTAGGATCTAACTTGTTGAATGCTCGTGCATTTTAAGAGCTTCTTAAACCATTTACAAGCAATTAGTAGAACAAGATTAATTATCCTTCAGGTGTTTTTTCTATATTGATTAATAATTGATATAATAACTCATGTTAGGCAAAAATATTATTATTAATTATTTTAGTGAATAATAAATTATTTAATTTTATATTTAGGTCTGAAACACTTTAACTATTCATAGAGCTTAACCTACGTATTTATAAGTTTTAATTACCAAAATTAAAAATTACTTCTGTTGCAGAAAATTTTTGGATATTTTTTAATTAGTATCAAATTGTTTTTTCATTATATATTTAGATATATAATATATACTAAAACTGTTCGAAATGTTATTATTTTTTTATTATTAAAATATTATGTTATTACTTTAGTGTTTAGACATATTGTGCAACCATATGCAGATATTCACATATGCATAAATCTTATGTTTGTCTTTGATATTTCATAACTAATCCATATCCACCATCATATATATATATATATATATATATATATATATATTTGATATTCTCTGATATATCATGCTTTATGGCAAATTGAAATTCTGTTTACTTGACATAAACACAGACATAATATAATATAATGTGTACCCACCTATATAGCTATTGCGTGTTTATTTTAGTGATCAAATGATAAGTTCATACTGCTTTATTTGCTTTAGCCAAAATATGTTTACACAATATTATTACCGCTTAATATAATATCCATTTAGGAATTTAGTATTCAATTCAATTACTACGTAAAGGCGATTAATATTGCTGATTTTATGTCCCAAAAATAGAGCAAATCTATTCAGGATTTTGTATTTGATCGACAGATTTTGGCGAATGACAATGCTTTGATTGGGTATAATATCGAGGAAGTGAAGCCTTTCAAAATTTATGACAATGAATGAATGAACTTCTATATAAAAAATTTGATAATAATGATTTTATTTTGGTCTCATAATCGGATTTGATGTAAACGATTTTTTTCATAATATTATATTATAATTTTAACTTCCTTTAATTTTACTTTAAGGGTAAATTATAGTAATCGCAAAAAAAAACGTTTAAAGGTTTCTGAACATTTTGGCATATCTTAGAAAAAAATGACGTATTTTCGTCGACCATTTCGCGAACAGGGATCAACCGATTCGAATAATTTAAAAAACATTCGATTTCTACAGATAAGGAGACGTGCTGATAAGTTTTTGGCAAAGGCAGGTTCGGAGTATTTTAATTTTTGAGATAACGGAGCGTCCGATTTGGATAATTCAAGAAGCATTTTACTTGTATTGACGAAATGAAGAACTGGTTAAATTTTTGCCTAGGTCAGCGTAATAATAATAACAATAAAAGTAGTAAAAAGTAATGCCATTTGGCGTTAAAAAATGAACATTAGACATATGCACATCAAATTATCAGATATTTTATAAAGATTTTAACAATAAGTTTAAACTTTGTTTACATTCCTATGGGTTCCGTACCAATGTTTACGCGTTAGAAGGCGACGCGGCGCTTACGCGTTTTGATATTTTGTCTTTATGCACTTAAAACAGTACGATTGCTTCAGAATTTCCAAAATATTTCAAAATAAATGATTTAAGATAGAATGATTTAATATGGTTCGAAATTCTATTAAAAGTTTCAAATCATTGATCAAGTTTTATTGATTATTATTATTGATTATTTTTAATTAGTCGAATTTTTAATTGCGGTACGGGAAGTTCCAGCAATTTGCCTTAAGGTACGATGCCCTAATTGCCTTAAGACAGAATTCCACTTACAGCTAGTTTTTGTTTAGTCATTATGGCTTACCGTAAATCTCCTGCACCAAACTGATAACCAGCGTATATCCCTGATTCTTTTGCCCATTGGCAGCCTCAGGATTATATCAGTATTATTGTAAGCTCTGAGAACTGGAGGTTCCCTGAAATATTAAAAAAAAAATTAAATTAAAATATATGGTTTACGGTCTATTTACCTTTGTCATTATATTTGCTAGATGTCAACTAATTACATTTTATTATTTTCGTATGTTACAATTACCGTCCAGTCTTCTCTGTCATTTAATTTATTTCTTTACAAAAGTTTGAAAAACAAAATTAATTATAAAATGTAGCTCCAAGTTGCGCACATCCCCATCCATTATGGGGTGCATTGTCTATTTAATAGCTTGCACCCGTCCTGCATGTATTACACCGCTGCATTTGCATTTCAATGAATAACATTTATTCGGACGATTTATAACGAGAAAATATAGATGAAAACTTTTATTGCACATATAAACCGTGCATTTTGCTAATGGAGTAATAATTTAGAACGGTTAGTGTTAATTTAATTGACTAAGTAACTGTAAATTTTATTGCAGTTGAAATATATGATTATATACATATATTTCGCAGTATCCAATAAATTTTACTATGATAAGTATAGGTGTTGCGTTTCACCAAATTACCAATATTCAAAATTTAATATTCAAAAAAAATTCAACAAGTAACCAAGAAATATATATATAAAATAATTTTTCAACTGTATTTTTCTTTTGAGGGTGTGGGTAACATGATGTTGTAACATCATATCGTATTTTTTCTTTACAAATATATGAAATATTTCAATAAATTAAACTCTGACGTATTTTTTATGGAACAAAAATCAGAACCAGGTGTTCCATAAACTGTTGAGAACAAAGCTTACTTTCAGGTTTATTATCTTCATAAAAGGTAACAAAAGACATTTTATTGTTTTTTATCTAGTATTTATATTTTATTTAATTATAAATACCTTCAAAAATAAAACAATTGTCTTTTATAATTGTAATATTGCAGCAATTTCTCAAAAGGTGATTTACACTTGAACATATTCGGGCTACGAAACCACAAGAAATTACAGTAGAGTCACGAACACCCCATTTTATTTTAGTATTGTAATTATCATTTAATTTAAAACTTGGTCTATTATTTAATTTGATTTAATACATCAGTAGTCAATTCTAAATTGAAACTCTTATCAGCAAAGCGAAGACGAATCAATTCATTTTCTGCTGGGAAATGAAAATGAAAATGTAGATGGAAAAATACAAAGCTTTACTAAAGGAAAACGAAACAAAAAAAATCGTTATTAAATTATTTTTATCTAATTTTAAAATAGTATTGCATTGATTTTTTAAATTGATTTTATAAGACCTCTCTTTTCGTGAGTAATGGCCCAAAATGCACTGCTAAAAATCATAGTTTGCATCTATAGATTCAAGTAAAAACTGTTATCAGTACTGCTTGATATAAAAATGTCCTTGTCTAAAATTTTGCTGTTACAAAGTCAAAATTCTAGAGGATATTAATATCCCGTAGGGTAAGTTATATTAATGGGCCGAAAAATAAAAATGAAAATTTTTGCATATCTTCACGTTTCAGAGGTTTTTGAACATTTTGGCATATCTCAGAAAAAATGGATGTGTGTGTGTGATTTGTGTGTCCGCAAATTTTCATGAAACATTCAATTCCAATTGATAGAGAGATGTGCTGATTAGTTTTTGGCAAAGGCAGGTCTAAGCCTTACGGAGATATGGACAAAGAGTGCAGGAGATAGAAATCGAGTTTTTGAGAGAACGGAGTATCCGATTTGAATGATTCAAAAAGCATTCAATTTGTAATGATTGGCAGAAGTGGTGATTAATTTTTGGCAAAAGCAAACATTTTGTTACGGTATGGGAAGTTTTACCAATTTGCCTTAAGGCACGATACCATACACCACTAGTTACAATTAGATGCTATAGTTTACATGCCTTGGTCCTAAACTAAATCAAGACCAGTCAAGACAAAACAAAATTCTCTGATATTATTTATTCTTCTCTCTAATAACATAAAAATTTCAAAAGAAATCTATCCCTTTTCAGTGACTTATTGCCTGTTTTTCTGATGATCTAATAAACTACTCCTCCATGTGAGGTTTTGTGATTGTATTACTTTGATGTTACTGATTTCACGGTATCTCCGTTTCCATCTCATTATTATGCACCCTTAGGGCCCAAGAGGATCCTGATAGAAGAAGAGGGTAGCAATACAAAAAAACCCTTTAGAACGATTCATTTGCAAGGATTAAATAGACAGAGTAATAAACACGCATCTGTCAAATCTAGATGCAACTTTGGAACTGGAAATAAGATGGAAATAAAGTTTTTCAGGGTAAAGTAATTTTTTTTAAATTTAGTTTTTACGTAATAAAGGCCGAATAAGTAGGAACCAGGAATCACAAGTGGAGAATAAATGATTTTAGTGATATCAGTAGCTTCAAGAAATGCCAAAAGTGGGAGCAACTTTAACTTGTGCCTGATGATATTGTTACATTTCGAGATTTTTTCATAATTATATATATATATATATATACATGTCGTAATCATAATTGCATTTAATCAAAAAAGTATGGTTACTTAATATAAATGAAAGTTTCAAACATGCTCAAGCCTACTACTTAAATACAAAACCATAGAATTTATGCACATTTTAATTTTTATCTAATACGATATTAATTATTTTGACATTTCATATATCTACTGTCCATTTCGCAAAACCTGAGCAATTTTATCAAAGTGCGTGATTGTTACTTTTTTCTTTAAGTATTGCAGCCTTTGTATATTTGATCATTTGACCTTTTGTACAAAGCATGAGAATAATTGCCAGATGGATCTTTGACGGTAATTGGTTTTTAATGATGTTTTTTTATTTTAATTACAATTAACGGTTTTTCTGATCTGTCTGCATATACTTTGAATTATTGATATTGTCATTAATAGATATAATGGAGAATATATGTGAACATTATTTTAAATGCATCAAAAATTTTTTACATATAGAAATAAAATTTATGTGCTGGATCTGACGTTCTTCAAATAGTAGAAATATAATTTTTAAACTCAACAAGTCGATTATTTCGAATATTCATAGAAATTCATATTCATGAAATCAAAACTGCTGCAAAATTTTGTCATAAAAAGCTTTATTTTTAAAAAACAGTATGTAGTGATTTATTCATAGAAAATTTGGTGTTTCACCGTTATTTTATAAGCAAACCTAAATTTTATACAAAATCAATTTTATATTAACTATCGAAAATGACGGACCTGCACAGTTCAGTTTTATGAGATGAAAAATAGAAGCTATGAATACAATATTATGTAGGACGGTTTACATGTTCAATCAAGACACACAAAATAATTTAATATTGTTTTAATTCTTTCTGAAAAACCTTTATTACTAGTTACCCCTGTTATAGATAGCCACAAGCTTCCCTACTACTAATACTAATAGACTGAAGATTGATTTTTTTTAATTAATTAATAATTTTTAATAATAATTTTTTTACTAAAACAAAATAATTTTTGGTACAATTTTATTAAAATTGTTTATTTATTTATATAGTTTCTATTAATTAAAAAATATATATACAAAATGTTTATATGTAGACAAATCTCCAATATAATGTCATACAATTGCTTTTAAATATATAACATTTAATTTAATTTTAATAGCTTTATCAATCAATATCAGTCCTATGATTTTTTTATGGTTTTAAGCTTAAATAAATAAAATAAAAATCCAACAAAAAAGAGTCTCTTATTACCCTGTATTAATATTTCTGATGCAGGTAGACAGAAAACTGATTTCCTCCCTTGTCCTTCTTGTCACAATTTCAAGAATTTCAGATTCCTTTCCAATTTTGTTTAATTTTATAAATTGCAAATTGAATAAATGCAAAGTATGGATTTATATGTCTATTAGAGTCATTATCGTTTAGCTTTCTGTATTCATTTGATATGTTTTGCTAAAAGGGAATTGAAGGGTGGCCTATCCGTAGAATCGTCGTACCTTATTATGAACCAAAGCACTGAATAAGCGATACCAGAAAAGGGTAAACGCATTTAATAATTGGATAGCTGATGTAAAAATATTGAGAATTAATTTAAAAAATCATATTATAAGAGAGAAGTGTCTATGCTAAATAAATCTATGAGTTGAATATTTGAAAGTTTGATGAGAGAAGATTTCGTAAATAAATATTCCATAACTAATCATTCTTAATTTTTACATATTTTCTTATCCTTTTTCTTTTTATTAACTTCCTATAGGGTAAATTATAGTATTCGATAAAAAATCGAAAATCAAAATTTGTGCATACCTTTACGTTTCAGCGGTTTCTGAACATTTTGGCATACCTTAGAAAAAATGGATGTATGTGCGTGCGTGCGTGTGTGTATGTATGTATGTGCAGAAATAATATTTTGTCGACTATTTTCAATACAATAACATAGATCAAACGATTGGAATGATTCAAAACACATTCGATTTCAGATACGGGGCAAAAAATGCCAAAAATGTCAAAAATGGTATTTTATTTTTATTTTTAAATGGTATTGACGAAATGAACAACTGATGAAGTTTTTGGGAAGATTTTTGTCAACGATTTCAAGAACACTACTCAACCGATTTGAATGATTCAAAACACATTCAATTTCAGATACGGGGCAAAAAATGCCAAAAATGGTATTTTAGTTTTTTGAGAAAACGGAGCGTCAAAAAAATATTTTAATTGTATTGACGAAATGAACAACTGATGAAATTTTTGGAAAGACGGGTTCAGCTTTTCTGGAGATACAATAAAAAAAGTAACTAGTTGGAATTGTTATTTTGCATTGAGGCAAGTTACGTGAACTTCCCGATTTGTATAAATAATCGATTAATCAATAAAAAAAAAAATATGATTAACTAAAAGTATTCCGAGTGGATTTATTACACATAATTGAAAACGAACGATCACGTAAACCCGGAGTATTTTCTAAAAGCAAATTTTTAAAAATCAATGATTTTTATAATTGAACCAGTTTCCGTAGAACTTTAATGGTTTAGTCTGTTCATTAAGACCAAGTACTCTGTC